GTGATTCACCGTCATATTTACATTATTTGTACAGTACGAATGATTTGCTTTGGTACCTGGTCAAACTTAAGCTCTCCTTAGTATGGCTGGCTCCGTTTCTCCAACAGCGCACTCACAGGCAGCAGCTCTCCCGCCCTCTCGCTCAGTCGCTTAGTGTGCTTCGAATATTGTGTGTACTTTTTGTTTTGTACAGTTGTCAGCCAGACATCTAACTATGAACAAATTACACTCCAAAAGACCCCGGGCTTCTGAAAAAACAACCCGGGCTTAAGCCCAGTAAGCCACCCCCACGCTCCGCCCCTGGTTTAGAAACATATGACCTCATGTAAGCTTTATGTTCACCTCTGAATTCAGCACATGTTCTGTATATTCTTCTTATACGCTCTTTGTGCTTTTCTCTGAACATAGGATTTTTTTTATACGTCTTTATGGCACGCTCTTTTTTTCTCTCTCTAATTTTAGCACTTTCTCTATAAATTATTCTCATTCATTCCTTCTGTTTTTCCTTGAATCCATCTCTATAGGACCTTCTCATTTGCTCCTTCTGTTTTTTCTTAAAATCATTGCTTTCTCTATAGATCTTTCTCAAATGTTCTCTCTGTTTCTCTCTATATGTAGCATTTAGTTTATATAGATTTTTTTGTACACTCTTTTCTTCTGTGATCAGGATCATTAGACTTTCCATTGGGATTTTTTTGGAAGCTTTCATCAAAAGTGTACATCTGCCTTTCTTTCTTTTTCTGATTTTCCTTTCTTTGTGGTAGTTTCTGTTCGGCCAATAATCTTCTCCTCATTTTTCTCCATTCCTGTTTAGTACATTTTAGAAGTTTATGTAAGAGTTCCTCTGTTGTCTTGGTTGAACAGGAGGCAGTGTTTGAATCCTTCTGAGGAACAGAATTTGATGTTACCTGAGTTTCACTCACAGAAGATGCAGAGGTTTGATGGAGCAGAGATGCAGCAGCTGTCATTTAAATCCGTGCTGAATGACGTGACTTCAGTGGTTAAAGTTTCCGTCACAGTTTTCCATGTCTGCTCAGTGGATGTCTGGGAGTTTAATTCATGAACAGGTTTGTTTAAAGCTGGTGCTAGAACATTTGTAGCGGATTTCCTGTATTCGGTGGTTTGATTAGCATCTCTTTGGTCAGCAGCGTTTTCACTGTGAAACTCAATAGACTGTAGCTCATAAGTGCAGGCTGGCGCAATGGTAAAAATTTGGTATAAGCATTTGAGCCTGTCAATCATGTTGTTAAGACGTGTGAATTTTAACATAACTGCAGTTCCACCATTACACATAGCGACAATGGCATTCCTGTTGACTTACGTGGGTGAGGGTCAAAATATGCGTATTCACCTGAAGTCAGCCTGCATACTGCGATGACTGTTCCTCCCATGACTAGCAAAGCATAGCAAACATCTGAAGTCAAACACTGTAGTAATAATAATAATAATAATAATGGATTGGATTTATATAGCGCTTTTCAAGGCACCCAAAGGTACCTTATATGTATTTATACACAAATGTAAACAAAACTCAACCTCGAAACAGGAAAAGCTAATAACTCTTCAAGTTTCTATTAAATTGGAGAAATTTAAAATTATACAAATGTTAAAGAGTTCTTATAAATATGTAATTGATTTAAAAGGCTGACTTAAATACAAACTAAATATTAAAGTTATTTGAAGTTCTCCCTAAAAAACACATCAGTTTTATCGCAGCTTTTTCAAAACCTGTATATTATTACTTCTTATATTTTTTTAACCAGACTGGTTAAAGATTAAATGTAATTTTTCAGATGCTACTTTTGCTGCTTTGAGGCTGAATCAGTCTCACAAACCATCAGCTATCATCTGAGGACTTATTCTATGTGGGCAACAGGTGATGTTTTGGTGCTTCTGATGTATTCACCCGTTGCCTACTGGTGGTGGTCAGAGGGCCTGGTGGCGCCAGTGTCCGGCAGCCTCACCTCTGTCAGTGCGTCTCAGGGTGGCTGTGGCTACAATATAGCTTGCCATCACCAGTGTGTGAATGTGTGTGTGAATGGGTGGATGACTGGACGTGTAAAGCGCTTTGGGGTCCTTAGGGACTATACAAGCGCTATACAAATACAGGCCATTTACCATATTCAGTTAAATTTTATTTATATAATCAAATCAGCAGTTTCCTCAAGGTGCTTTATAATGTAACAGAAAAAACCCCAACAGTCAGACGACCACCTAAGAGGGAAGGAAAAACTCCCTTTTAACAGGAAGAAGCCTCCAGCAGAACCAGGCTCAGGGAGGGACAGCCAACTGCTGTGATGCATTGGGAGTAAAGGAAAGAAAACGTAGTTTGCAAACATCCTAATAAAACATATCTGGGCTGCATCTTTGCTCCAAACAGACTTCTTCTGACTTATATAAAGCTCCAGTTTGAATTCAAGGGGTTTAAAAAAGCTTTGCACAAAACTGTTTAAGAATTAAAGCTCTTTTAATTCACTTTCCCACATTTTCAGAATCTGAATGAAGTATTTTTATGGCCGGATGAAACCTGCTTGCTTTATGGCCAACTTGGACCCTACAAGAGTGTAAAGACAGCACGTGTAGGTTCACTGGTGATTCTAAATTGGCTCGAAGTGTGAATAGTTCTCTCTTAATGTGTAAACCCTACACTGGGTGTATCCCACCTAACACCCTTTGACAGCTGGGATAGGCTCCATTCCATTGTTGTTCCATTGTTCTGCTTCCAACACATCAGCTTTAAGAACTGTCCATTCACTTGCTATTTAATTGATCTCAGCCCTTATTATGTGCCACCGTGTAACAGGATAAGGTTCTTCATCTGTTAGTCACTTAATCACTTTTATTTAATCATTGTACAGCATGGTCCCGCTTTACAAAGTAAGTGCATAGGACAAAGTATACAGCAGGACAATATTATAGTAAAAAAAATATTGGGAAACAACCATAATGCAAATAAATGTAAAACAAAATGTTTCAATATAAGAATTAAGAAGAATTATACAACGTCAACATTAAAAAACATCACAGTCGCTCATTTTAATGGTGTGGCAAATGATATGTGTCTTACCACTTGCATGTGAGACCTAATCTTGTATACACGCTTAGTGGTCCAGCTTCAAAAAAGGCACCAATAAGAAGCTCATTGCTTTTGTTCTTTCTCTACTCATGCAGAAGTCTGATTTTGTAAACAAAGTAGATAAATATGTACATTTAGATAAAACTATAAATACAACTCAAATTTTTACAGTGTCATAAGAGAAAGCATGGTTTAAAATATTTAAAAAAACCAGACTCTTAAGGTGCTTCATAATGTTCAGCTGGTGGGGTAAGTGCAGTCTTTGAGTTCTCTGAGTGCATTCACTTTAAAGCAGAGCACTGTAGGGTGCAACAGAGCATCGCACTCCGATTTTTGACTGTCACGTCAAAGTCAGCGAAATTTATAAGGATTTTAAAAACACAAATGAAATATGAAACTGTAACAAATTCTGAATTCTGTTATAACATTTTCATTAGGTCATGCACACACACTCATATTCTGTGCCATTACTGTGATAAAAAGAGTTATAAGTCACATTCAGAGTCAGGGATGCCTGTGCTGTACTTGCACTTGCCTTGTTAGAGATACGAACACTAGTAGAGATACTTGTCTGTATCTCTAACCCTGCAGTATGAAAAAGTGCCTTAGAAAATATAAAGCGATGACGACATCAGCGGATGGCATGCTAGTAACAATCAGAGTCTGGCCTGCTCCTCGTGCAATCTGTGAGTCATTGTAGAAATGTTGCTTCAGCACTGAGAAAGCGGTGACGGCAGCCTCCTACTGAGAGCAATAAGAGCTGCTAAGAGATGGCACCACGCAGACATCAGACCTTTGGTGGAGGAACTGGCCTCAGAGCCTGGAGGACAAAAGAGAGATGGATATGTCCAAAAATGTTAAAGTGACACTGTGCTAATTTTTATGTTTATTTTTATCTTCAGATGACTGTGTGTAATATAAAATGAATCACTTACAGCACTGAGAACAGAATTAGTAAAATGGTCATTAACTTTATGAAATGGTTTAGCATCTTTTAACTCACTTTTTTTTGGGGAAAGCTAGCCAACAAAGGAGACAACCAACCAATTATATGTGCTTTTTTTGTTATCCAATCAAATTAAAGAGTTGCTGGTTAATCTATGGGGAAGGTTTTTTTTCCAGCTGAAATAGTAAAGAAAACGGGTTAAAGGCCGGTGAGCTCTGGTACCTGCCGTGCAGCTGTGTAGTTTGAAATGGGTGGTGTGGGTTTGTTCCCTGGTGGAGCTGGTGCAGTTCTGTGGATCTGAATGACTGGTTTAGGTTTGGTCCCAGCTGCAGGTGGTGGAGGTGGAGGTCCTTCACGCTTTGGTCTGCCAGCCTACAAATTTCAGGTATCATTAGAAACGTGTCGGAACAGTTTTTAGATCAAATTCCAGCTCCATTCAGAAAATCACCTGTTGGCCTGATCCAGGGTAACTGGGTGGAGGCTGTTTGCTGTGGTAAGCCGGGTTCTGCACAGCTATCTGCTTCCTCTGATTTGTTCCACTGCAAACACAGATTGAATCAACAGGTGATGACCCTCATGGAGGCGAGTTTGCAGAAACAGAGGCATACAATGGCCTCCAGTAGTGTCATGATTACTCACGTTGGCAGGATGGGACTTTGTTGCTTTTTCCAGATGATTCCTGCGATGGCAGCAATGATGCCTAGGACTAGTAGTGTAACCGTGACTGCAATGACAATAGTTTTTCCTACAGAGACAGAAGAAAATCGGTTTGCTTGGGTTGTAGTTGTGCAACATGACACAGTAAATTGAACTTAATCTGTAGACTGAAGTAGATGACTCTTACCAGTACCACTAAAAGCTGTGTCCACTGAGTCACAGTTAGGAAGCGTCCACCCAGGCTCGCACTGGCACTCACTTTTGTGGTTGCACACCTGGAAAGCACAAAGAACATGTTGCCATTATTAGACTTTAAGTAGAATTTAAGTAATATAAAACACTCAGCCCCAGTATAACTGGTGCCATGTAATTAACTAGATTTACCCAGTATATTGTTATAGTGTATATTATATTATCGCTTTAGCTTCTGACAAATTGACTCTAGTTAGTTTTATTTCATTTTGCATAGACTATAAGTAAAATATGAATAAGATGCTAGGCTAAATTATATTATTATGATTAACTGAGAGTTGTTGCTTGCTTGAGCCATTTTATAAAATAAAGTTAAATTAAAAATATTTAGAGGTTTTCAAGTTTTTCTCATTTCATTCACATTTCAAAAAGTGAAAAAAGAATTTGTTATATGGTTTTTTTAAAATATTTTTTTCTTTTTAAATTGGACACTTATTTAGTGCATATTTGCAATCACACTGCAGTTGTAAATGTTTACACGTGGTTCTAAAAAAGCCTACATGAGTAAGTTTGGGCATGTCTTGTATATCTCACATCAGCATTTCAGGGATGCCTTAGAAGGGTGTCTTTGTCTTTACAGGGCCTAAACCTTTTAAAACAACTGGAGCTGCATGGCCACCATTGGTGTGGTTATCACATCCACTTCAAATATTTAGGTTATGTTTCACAATTTTTTATTTATTTTATCATTATTTTATGGTGTTATTGTATTGTAGTTTGCTACAGATCAAACTGATTTTTTGGCAGAGGGGGGAAATCCTGTAAAATCCTGGGTTTAAAATTTGCAAAATACACAGAATATTAACAAAATTCCAAAATGATGCATTTTTTCCCCTTATTTCTACGAAGTCGTTACCTCTGGGACTGAACAATAAAGTCAGCAGTGATAAATCCCAAAAGCTGCAGCTGAATGGCTGATTGAAGCTGGCTATCAAATGTGAGTAGACCACAGTGCTAAACTGACCAATTTAACAGTATTAAAATGTGTGCATATAGCCTTGAAAACAAAGTTAACCTCAGAATCTGTCTGCTAGGCCAAACTTCCATTAGTTTGAGTCAGTGAGTGAGACCTCTCATGGATCCAGGTCATTTACCAAAATGCTAGTATTAGCTTACAACTTTACTTTTGGCTCCAAAATGCAAACATGCCATGACCAATATGACCCCATTAAGATTGAAGTTATAAAACATTAAGTCCAAAACTCAATGCAGGCTATGACAGTGACTCCATCCACCTTTTACACATAAGCTACATTTTAAACATGGATATGTTGGATTAGCTGCCCCCGGCTAACAAAGGATTTAGTTAAAATTTGCAGCGAGAAATCACACAAAAACTACTTTTAACCCTTTGATTTTGTAAAGTTGATCTTAAATTTCACTCTTAGTGGCATTAAAGTCTTTAAAAGCTTTAGAACCCTGTTCACAACTATGAGGGTACGCAGCTTCTCCTCTTAATAACTTTTTGAAAACAGATGAACTAATAATGAAAATACCAGAATGTACAGTCCAGCACAAAACTATTATAAATCAGTTCCACCTCAATGGATCAGTTTTTGGTGTCATCATGTACTCACAGCATGGCCTGGGCATTTTGCTGAACAGTTGGTGTTTCTGTATGCTGTCTGCAGATCCACACACTGATTCTGGCTGCACACCTTGGAAAAGACAAGTCAGACGTATATTTAACTTTATTTTGTTCTACACTGTAGATGCAGTAAGCAAAAAGTGGATTCAGGAAGCCTGCTACCTTTCCATCTCCACATTTAGTCCCCGTTTCCACCAGGCCTTGGTCACCGGTGGTGTCTGAGAAGAACGCTGCCTTGCATGTGCCGATGGCGACCATCCGGCCATAGTTTGGGTTGTCATTACCGCCTTCACAGAAGAGCTTTCCACAAAGAACATCTCTGCAAAAGAAAGACAGTGTTTGTTTCTGATCATGTTTGGTTGATATGAAAAACGAAGAATCAAAATAAGGATCGGCTGCAGAGCAACTGTTGCCCTGTACGTTCTACTGGGACTCACTCTTGCTGACAGGGGATGAACTGATTATTTGAGGGGCGTTTGCAGAAGCCATAGTAGACTCCTCTGGTGTTGTAGTTATAGCATCCTTGTTTGGCCTCCTTAGCACCTGATAGCAGCAGGAGATTGCATAAAAACCTAACTCTCCATATGACTTTCACATACATCCATATGCGTATTGACAGGATACTCACCTGATCCATACATCTTGACACACTGCTTAGGTCTCTGTGGACACTGACCGTTGTAGCAGTACCCTTGGCCTCCATCACATGGGAGCCCATTCACAGCAAACACATCCTCCGGACAGGTCGTGCTCTTCCCATC